GGTTTTGCTAAAGTGCTGCTGCAGGAGAGACACAAAGGCACTTAACTGTATCATAAACACACTTCTTCACCTAAGGATTCCTATGTAGACACTAAATTATACAACTGTACAGGATTTTCCTCTTTTGACTTCTAAAGATGTTCCAAGAGGCCTTCAAAAAGGGCCTTCAAAATGGAAATAGTGTGACATTTCTATCAGGAGTAATCATTGCACAGTTCAGAACCTCCTTACTCACCAGTGGAGAAGAGTTGGACCTTCTTTATTCATCCACTGCAAGACCTAGAACAGTACAGGCATTTTCAGGAAAGAAAATAATATTTCAGAGGAATAATAATGTTGTGCAACATCACTTACATATCTAGTTTCTTTAATAACGATTTGCATTTCAGATTGAAAAAAGATTTGAAATAATCTACTGCCTTCCATCTAATTATGAAAATTATTAAAATAACACAATTTAGTGCTAATGTACTAAAAATTTACTAATGTAATTTTGCTCAGATGATTAAAATCATACAGAAGAAAGATCCTAGAGAGAATTGTGTGAGAATTAGATTTTCACAAGAGAAAAATAAATTACCTTGGATAAACGATGAAATAATCTGTTACTTAAATCACCTGACAACACAATTACTCTCCCAATCACTGGAAGAAGTAATCCCAACTCTTTCGAGCCCGGGCATTTGCAGTTGCTGCAGGAGCTGTCTGAGTATAGCTTTCTTTTTCACTTTCTCCACCTGCTGGCCATGCTGAAAAGCAGCACAGCACCTACACAAAAACATCTGACTTCAATGAATCACATCTAGGTACTTCCATAGGTTATTAATAAAGTCTTTCTGTTCTATTTTTTACTGTTAAAAGTGAGATCAGAAACAAGGCACTCAAACAACACTGAAAGAAAGGACAAAAGGTTGTTAAAGTTCTTCAAAAAGCAGAAAATGACACTCAATTGAAGCATTTTGTATCTGCTTAGATTCCAAATACAAAAAAAGAGTAATTGCTGGACTAAACTGGACAGAAAGGTTCAATGTTAACGCTCACAGCATTATCAGACCATTGCTAATAGGTGATGTGATGCATACACTACTGGGTATGAAGTCCCTGAAACAACCTCACAAAACATTTAATACAACAGATGAAAAAAGAAAGGGGGAAAGAAAGGGGGAAGGGAGAAAAAGGGAGCAAAGTGGGGGGAGGGGGGAAGGACCACTGTGATGAAACCCATACTGTTACACAGTAAAACAGAGATGATGGTAGCAATACTTGTTCTGTGCTTCATGATGGATCAAAGGCCAGTAGAGGTGGCTGCAGAGTAAAAGCATCATTTCTGGGAAGGTCATGCATCCAAAGAAAAATTTAAAATAACACCACCACCACCACAAACATGTTTTACTGCCAAAAATAAGGCAAATTGAAAACTATTTTCTCCATATTTTCTCCCTAAGAAAAGGGTAAATGATTTTCTCTTCCTCTCTCAGTTCCATGTTTATTCACTGCATTCAAAAACACTTAGATGAAGCCTAGAATTTGAAGTAAAATGCTGTCATGTCACAGCTTTTACAGTATTATGTATACACCCCACACAGTATCAATTAGCAGTGAGTTTCTTACTTTTACAGCAAAGTAGTCATCGAAGCATTCAAAATCCAGGGCAGGATTTCTGGGAGAACATTGCTTTTTTTTTTTTTTTTTTGTACACAGTGCCTGGCTAGCTGTCAAACAACAGGGCAGACGGGCAGCTTGACTGATGGTGTTTCCAAAACACGGCAGGTGCTTGCAGCTTCAGCAGGCAGTGCTTGGCCCTTAAGCATGCACACCACCACGTATATGGGTAGGGTTGAATTTGCTGAGTCCTTATGCAGTTTTGTAAGGAGCACAAGGTGGCTTGTTGGGAGGTTAATGCAGATAGATTCAGTGATCCCTGAATGATTAACATCCTTCTTTGCTGTTACAGAGCTTTGCCATGACGCTCGTGCTGCAAAAGAATTTGAAGTTATACTCACCTATTTAGAGTTGCTGAAAGCTGTTATAATGAAATTGGGTAGGGAAGAATGGAACTGAGTTGTGATTGATAAGCAGATTTCACCTGGCAGAATTTTAGCAGCACCCCATTAGGAGCTACTTACAGCAGAAATTGTAAGAAGTAACTGAGCACTGTGAAGTATGTCTACCTGAAAAATATGAAGTGATACGAGGAAGGAACTACACAAATTCAGCAGGTCCAAAAACAGCAGACAATCAGAATCACAATTCATAAAGCCTAATCATGAAACCACTGCTTCAGGAGAGGAAATACACCAAAACCCCAAAGGAAAATTTTAAGATGTTCCTCTCAGATGCAGCATGATACAACAATCAGTAGAGGTGATCGTGAAAGGTATACCTTGTAATAGGATGATGGCATTATATTCCAGGAGAATATCCTAATAAGTGTAGTATTTGTTTGAAAATACTCCTTCAGTCATACAAATTAGCAGCAGTAACAAAACACAACCAAGCAGGTGTGCATGTCTGACTTCAGCTGATGCTAGATGTTCACATACTTTAGTGAACCCCTGCCCCAGTATCTGATGTAGCCGCCACTTGGTCATTTTTTCAGATTTTTTTCTTCATTTCTGCTGATTTTGAAATATGTGCCATTATGATGGCAAAGCTCATGATTGCTCAAGTCTTGCTTATTTTATATTGCTAGATAAAATTAGAATTCAGCTTAAAAAAAATCACATCCTTTAGATCACTGAAACATTAATTATCCTTTAAAACTGAATCTGAATAAACAAGCCCCAAAACTTGCCATACCTTCAGGCCCACATTTGCTGTCAGACAAGCTGACAGACTTCCTCTAAAGGCTTAAGGCTACCTAATAATTCATAACATGAAGCATACACAGTAATTTCATAAACAGACAATGTAAATGATACAAACACAGAAAAATTAACTGGTTTGAAATGTGCCAGAGAAGACTTCCGAAGATGCATATAGATATTCCAAAAGGAAAAATAATCTCTTTTTGTTACATTTCAGATGAAAACCTAAATTTCAGTCCTTTACTGAGGCACAAGAGAGGAACCATTCAGATTTTTCTTATGCCAAATATTATCTGTAGATTTTATGAAAACGTAACTCTTCTACACATGCTTTTATAACGTTTCCAGCTACCAGCATTTCTATGATTATAATCTGTCATCTAACTCTCCTGTCTCTGTGTGTTGTGACTATCAATAACAGCAACTGTTTTCCCCCTACAATGACAGGTTTCAAATAAAGCTAAATTTACTAATGGGTAGTGATGGCAGTAAACTAGGCAGCAAAATGACAGTGTATAATCAATGATTGAGACTTCAGGCTCAACCCGCTTGTGTAAACAGGTTTTTATTAAGAGTTTTTATCCACTACTGGCCGTCATCTATTGTGAAAATGGAATATTATATTAATGATCTTCTAAGACTGTGGATCATAGAGAAAGAAACAAGATACAGTAATCATATAAAATAGATTTTTTTATGCTCTTAGCACTTACCTTCAGATGTATGTTTAAGCTAACATTTCTATAAAAAATAAGGAGAAAGAACATTCCATTACCAATTCTCCAAACAAAGAAGACTAACTACAGATTTGTTGGATGGCTGGCCACCTGCAGTGATATCAAACTGAGAACAGCGACTGAGAATTTGAGACAGATCTATATGTTGGTGAGTTTAGGACACAAAGTCTATTCAAAGGAAATAATGTGCTATATTAATATATTAATATGCTAGTTAGCATAGCATTTCATAAACAAAAAGAGTTTTAGAACACTAGAGTATTAGCATGAGTATTTGTAACTTCAGTCAGTCAGGCATGTATTTCTTTCTCCTTTTGTCAGAAAAAAGGAAATAAAAACAATCCTTTTCAGCTTCTGAACCCCAACTTAATGCAAATCCATCTGACTTAAGGCCTGCACAGGTGAGTGAATTCTAATTCAGGAAATCACATTTTTAGTCAAGCATACTGTACCACAGCAAGAATCATCAGGGAAGATGGCAATAACTGGAAAATAATTTTAAGTCTGTTTCTGGTTTTTACATGTGGAAACGAAATCTTCACCTGGAGGAGTCACCAAATATACCAGTAAATAAGCATCTCAAGGAGCTCTTCTTACTCTGCATGTAGCCAAACAAAAGCTAAGGCAACAACATCACTTGATTACATGTGAGTAATATATATATATAATTCCATGCCTTTTCTTAACTCATGCCCTTCATAAGCAAACCATTTTTCAGAAATTATTACAACAGTAACTACATATTATCTTACTATGCTGTCCCACTCCAGGGAGCTGTACTTTAAATGGCTTACTCTCCTTTTCCTTATTCCAACAACTTAACTACACGCAAATACCCCTCAAAGTATAAAGTTTCTCTCTTTTAAAATGTTTATGCCCTGTAATCTTTGTAACAAAGTACTGATTAGTGTTATAGTCAAGATGTTGTATATGCCATTGCAGAGCCTTTAGGAAAGGCTCAGTCAACCACTGCCCCTGTTAGAGGAAGGCAAGGGAGCTGTACACACACAGCACATTAGATAACGTAACACATGATCTACTGCAATTATTAGGTTAGTTACCTTTTCCCAGGATCAGAAGAGAAATGTAAAAGGAGAGAAGGAGAACGCGACACTTCAGAGAGTTCTTTGCAATCTGCTAGCTGAAAGGCAAGGAAGTAAACAAAGCGGCTTTGAAACTGTTCTGAAAATTTTTCCAGTTTCATCTTTCACTATTCCTCTGCTTGGTCTTCAATTGTTTCCTTCCTTTGTTTTTCAGACTCCGTGTGTTCTTACAGAATTCTCAGATGCATTACTCACTCAGCCCTAGATTTCTTTGTCCTGTAATCAGTTCCAAGTTCTAACCTTCATAATTTCTCAAAGTTTTTCGTCAAATCAGTAATCATTTTGAATCAGTACAAAAGAAAGAAGGAATGGTATGTTTTTGGTTTTGGTTTTGTTTTGTTTTGTTTTTTTTTAAGAAAAACAAACAAAATCCAGAAATATACACATATTTTACTATAATCTTTTCATATCAATGGTACAGAAAGTAAAATATAGGAGAACTTGTAAACTAACTAGAAAAATAAAATAGATTGGAACAAGAAGAGAAGCCTCCAAATTTTGCAGGTTCTCATGCACTAAACAGTCCCAAAGTCAGTCAAACACACGTACACAAGCTACAACATAAGTGGCAGCATTTTATCATCGTATATGTTTTTTCTTTTTAATAGTCTCAGACTGTCTTAGCTCCTCAGTCCCATGAGCATATGGACAAGATTCAGAAGGCAAAGAACAACCGTCAGGATGATGAATGAAAAACCAACAGAGACGTGTTTTAAATGCTTCAGCTGAAAGGCATCGTTTTACTTCAGGCTTAGTTTTCCTTGACGGCTTCTCTTTTCTCCAGTCACGAATATGAACTCTCCCATCTAAAACTAAGATTAAAAACAGAAATTCAGCTGTTAATATACAGCCATGGGAATCGTACTGGAAAAAATGCGTAGTGACAGTCAGCAAATAACATATTTTCAACAAATGGATCACTCAGACAAAACTAAATGTACCATTTATACAGAAATAGAAAGTAATACACAAGAAACTGAAGTAATATAGAGATAATCTAAAGAAAAATAATTTATTTCCCTGTGAGATGTTTTACTATCATGCTGAGGCATCTTTTTAGCATCTTCATAGAGGGTGTTTATAGAGGTAGGGTTTTTGTTTACCAAAATCCATTAAAATAATTTATACTAAAATGCTCAGAATCTAGACTGAAATTTAGACTTCTCAGTCAAGTTTAACTGGATAGGAGGAGTAAAACTGATAACCAAAAAAAGCCAAGCCAAACAAAAAAAAGACCTATTGATTCCTTACCTTCAAATACTTGATGATTGTTCTTGAGCAGTGTTTGCAGGCCTCCATATTCACTTTTCAGCCTCTTTAAAGTCTCCTTATTTAAATGTTCTGCTACTTCTTTCAAGGAAAGGCTTTCTGCAGTAGATGATAGTGTAGCTATGAAAATGTATATATCTAAAATCCTAGTGAACCCTAACTTCTGCATAAATTACTGCTTATGAACAGAACCTAAGAATTACCTATCAGTACTACAGCAATGCTGTGCTTTCAACATCACAAATATGAAATGTTTGCTATGTATGTAGTCTGTACAATGGCAGTTTTCATTCAACAGTGCTAAAGCCAGAATTTGTCTCCTCCCTTTTTTTTTTTCTCTTCAGTAACATACAATCTTCACTGTGCCAAGCATGTATATGAACGTAGTAAAAAGAAAATGACTCAAAGGCACTTCTATAACAACAATATATAACAAAGTACAGCAAGTAAATAATGAAATGGATGCAGGAAAATGGAACTTACTGAGCGCTTATAAAATAAACAGCAACTTCTTTTCATTCTAAGGCTAAAACAACTAAATATTGCTCATTATGTTGTAAACAAATGGCACTTCAAAGCACTTCTTAGAGAATTATAGCAAGTTATTATCCAAAAATATATTTCAAATCCTTTCCATCTAGATGCAAAGTTATGTTTCTGAACACAACAGCTTTGTTGTTGTTTGTTGTTGGTTTTTTTTTTTTTAATTGATTCTGTCCTAGTATGTAAGTATCGAGTAAAAGAAAAACAAGAGAAGTTTCAAAATACATTTATGCACCTTATTTGCACTTCAGGGTGCAAAATAAAACACCACAAAAAAAAACAAAAACAAAAACTTTGCTACAATACTGTTGTAAGGATAGGAAGCAGTACATATAGTTGCTTTAAAACAGTTCTGGATCACCCAAAAGAGGCAGCAGTTACAATCCGGTGATAAAGGGGGAATAGTATCTTTCCTGAGGATCAGTGCTCACTGAATGTTCCAAAGGAGGTGATCTCCAAGCAGAGATGATTCCCTTGTGGCTGCCAGCCCTTAAATGAAGTTAGGGAAGGTGAACCCTGGGTCCTTCCAGTCACACAGGTGAATGGCTTCCATCTGTGCTTCCAAGGGCTGGCCATGTTCTTTCAAGAGGTAATCATTGGCTAAGGTCATAACCTAACTGCTCCTACACACTGTTCATAGTATTTCCTAAAGTCTATCTTACTTGCCAAATTTACAACCATAAATTCATCAGAAAATACACCCTTCACCAGCAGAAGCAAAAGGCAATGGAACAATGTTAGACAGACTATCTCACCTCCTTGATTCCAGGTATTCTTATTTCCACCATGCGTATTAGAACATGATTTTGCAGGGACTGCATTTAACAGCAAGTTTGCCACATTCAGAACAACACCATCTACAAAATCCCGAGGGAGGGCAGCACAATTTCTAGTTTGTTCTACTTTTTCTCTGGGTTGAAATCCAGGCATCCAAATTCCAGTAGCAGTCTCCATCACATTTTCAGGGAGCTCTGAGCTTGCTCCTTTGCACACAGAGTGATCATTATCATTAAATCCATCTTCTCTGTCACGTGTAACCACAGCACAGGTCTGACGATTACGAATAAACTGTGTTATCTGCTCATCCATCAAAGAATGTTCTGTAGGTGAATAGATCCTGTTTCTTCCAATAAGGCACACCTATCTTAGCAGAAACAAGATACATTTCTATTTATATTGTAGCATTTATACAGTCTATTTCCTATATCAGAGTATTCACTCAACAACCAACATGTCTTATACAGGCTTCTACACCTAACTGCCAGATGTCCATTGGAACCCTATGCTCATTAACATCTGAGGGTTTTTTTTATTATTATTATTTTTTTATTTATTATTTTTTTTTTTCCAGTTTTAGCTTTTAAATACTGGTGACACAGAAAAAATCCAGCAGCCAAGCCATAACTCATTTTGCCATACAAACACAGCTCCCAAATATAAATAGTCTGACAGATTATTAAAAAAAATAAAGCTGAACACCTCTTTCTGCTCCAGAAACATTTCACTTTGAAATTCTTGATAAGAAAACCTACAAAGCTAAGTGCAAGTAACCAATATTGGTATATGGAAAAATTAAAGCAATATAAAGTGTAAGAGTTTCCCATCCTTCAGAGAAGTATATAATAAATAACCATAAACCATTTCATCCTCTCTTGTATTTCAGGTTGTAACTCATCAGTCCAAAATTACCCTTTTTGTTGATGGAATTCTAAGGCAGTCTTCTTCCACATGAAAACCACAGACACGTCCCACTTCAGCAACAAAATCAAGATATTCTCTGTACTGAGTCTTCTTGCTTTGTCTTCGGCTGTATTTTCCATGGAAATCGAAGAAGCAACATGGCAGCACAAAGTACCTACATGAATAGGAAGACCTACAAGAAGGACAATGAACTGCTAAACAGAAAGTTATTTCCAAGAACACACAAATTTAAGAAATTACCCATCAGATAATAGCAATGATGTAAAGTTTTATGAAGTGACAAAGCTTCAAGAATTTATATTTACATGATACTACTTCAGGATATTTATTGGTAAATTATTTGCTATAGTAAGTTACTGTGCCAACTTTGCAGAAATAAATCTCTAGGTATCAAACTACTGCAGCAGAACAAGAAAATGCAGGATCAACAGCAATTAATTTATTTTTAAACAAACTTCACATCTAAGAAATAAATACAAAATTAATTTTGAAATTTGAAAGCAGAATGCTACACTGAATTCTGTGATAAAATAAATACATCTTTCGTGTTCTTCCAAAGGAAAAGAGAAACACTTCATAAAAAATAATCAATTGCCATCATAAGAAGCAAATCTTGCAAGAACAGCTGGTGGGGTTACAAAAGAAGCAGTCTTCACCAAGCATCCATAGGCAATAATATTTCTATTAAATTCCACTCCTCCTGCTTCCCTAGGACCACCAAATACCTGGCAGCAATCACAGGTATCCATGGAGTTAATTCATCTGAATGGTTTCCTATCAGCCAGTCAGTATCTGGAAAGAGATGACTGTCACCTGGCACGATAGAAGACTCCTTTAAAAAAAATATATAGATAGATTTTATTAAAAGTTTCTTTAATTCTATTTGTTAATAAAGCACTAATATATATGTAAATAAATATCATATGTCACTTATGATTTCTTGCTACTTGTCACATTCATTTCTGCCATGTGTATTTTCAGAGTCCTACTCCCTGAATCCTGTTGTGCTTAAATTGTTCCTAACCTCATAAAAACAAGAATGAGGAACTTTAAATACAATCCCTCTTTAAACTGATTTTACTTTCCAGTTTTTTGAAGATTGTGATTGCAATCAGTTACCACAATGCCAATACAGCAGCAAGCCATAGACTCACGAGTTGGAAGACACCCTTATAGGTCATTTAGTCCAACTGCCTTGCAATGAACAGGGACACCAACAGCACAACTGAGTACTCAGAGCCCTGTCCAGCCTGACCTTGCATGTCTCCAAGGACAGCACATGCACCACCTCTCCAGGCAACCTGTGCCAATGCCTCACCATCCTTATAAGGAGGTTTTTTTTGTTTTTTGTTTTTTAAACAATATTCAATCTAAATTTCCCCTCTTTTAGTTTGAAACCATTTCTTCTTGTCCTGTCGCAACAGTCTCTGCTAAAGAGCCTGTCCCCTTTTTCTTACAGCCTCCCTTTACACACCCAAAGTCTGCTCTCAGGTTTTTCCAGAGTATTCTCTTCTCAGGCAGAACAGCCCCAGCTCTCTCAGCCTGTCCTCGTTTTTGCAGTCTCTCTCTAGACATGCTCTAAAGGGTCCATCTCTCTCCTTTTCTGTTGAGCCTCTTTTGAGGTTCAGCACTTTTGTTCCAAACAGCACAGTGCAGTACAAGATCAGAGTTACACTCAGAGTGACTCTGTTGTTAATTCACAACTTTGGATATTGACATATTTTATCAAGTACAGCATTGCAAACAAAGCTGTTCGCAATTGTACTTCCAGTAAAATCAAGGATTGTCTCCTAGTGTTATGTTTGCACAAGTAATAGGAAATCACTCTCTTCAGCTGAAAAATAAGCAAACTGCAAATATGCAAGAACATGATACAGCATTGCTCTATTAATACTCCCTTATAGCTACCTCTAGTACGTATGGGTGGCACTATACCAAAGCCATATAATGCTTTTGACAATTGTTTACAATCCACTGTGTTTAATTGTATTTTTATCAACACAGTCTGAAGCAATGAACAAGCAAATAAAGTTACATACATTTGCATAATACCTCTAAATGAGTTTCTGGTCCATACATGTCCCATATTTTTCTTCTCCTCAAGTCAATTCCTCGACCTAAGTGCTGAAATATTTGACCAACAAAGTGTCATTTTTAAGTACCATTTTTAGTAGAAATTCTCAAACAAATCTATGTATTAGCACTAACTTCTTCAGTCACACAACAAAATACAGCTTCATTTCAGGCAAAAGTCACTAGTCTATACAGTCCTTGCTGGAAGAACAACCATCCAACCACTGAAGTGATTTATTGGAGTCTAAATACACTTTTTCTTGCACAAGCTGGTAAGAAAAGGAATAACTGGAAATTAAGTTAGAAACAAAAAATTCATTAAGTAACTGTATATGAAGTTCAGAATCCTGTGTAGAAGTAATATGTACTGCAAATTAAATACTAATTAGTCTCATGAAACTTTCAGACAATTTTTGATAGACAATAATGTAATTGTCAATGGGGTAGAAAAAAGAAACATCCACAGGGAAATACAGCATCCAGTATCAGACCAAATTTTTCTGGTCATACAAGAACAAAGTTTTTTTAATGAATGCTTCCTCTGCAATTTTATTAGGTTTTCCCAGAAGTTCTAAATGAAATTTTCTGAGACTGACAGACCCAATGGCACTGAATTTTGTTGGATCTCAGAGAGCTTCTTTGCTACTTTTGTTTCAAAACATGTATCTCAAGAATCTGAATTTTGCTGCTGCCAAAAAAGCAACACCCCCAGAAACTAAGCTCATTGGTTAGGCCTTTCAAAATATGAAATCTCACAGCTGCTTTTTATGTACAAAAACATTTTCAGGCTTTGATGAGTAGACTTCAGTTTTAATAAAATTCATTTAAAAAATCTGCTCTAAAAGTAATACAAGAGAGAATCTCTACTTTAAAACTACCCATTTCTTTCTGATAGGTTTACAACATGATTAAATTATACTGTTACTTTTCCTTTTCCCCCCTCTTTCCTTCCTTTTTTCTTGCTTCAGAAAGATAAATAGCTTTAAGGACAAACCGTTGCACTAATAAAAACAGCTAATTAATCTAAAGTTTCTAAAGCTTTGCTAAGACTAGTTAACTAGGGAGTAACAAAGCCTTGTTCTAATAAGAACTAACTGAATTTTGGCTACTTGCATGCCAGATTAAAGAAACAAGAATACTGAATTATATTTTTTCATTATTTTAAAATGCACTCTATTTACCCCTTCATTGCTAAGAATATGCACCAGCAGACCATTTCCACATCCCAGATCTACAAATGACTGTTTCTTGGCCAATCCTTTTTCCTTTCTCTCTTCTTCCCAGAGAACCTAAGACAAGAAAAGAAAGCTTTTTTGACTTACACTCTCACAGACAAAGGAGATGTGACAGAAGGCAGAGAAAGCAACTTGAGGAAGAAAGAAAACAAACAAAAAACCCACAAACTCTAGAACTGCTAGTGGAGGCAGGGAGATCATGTGTTAGAGTATCAAGCTTTTTTTTTTTTTTTTTTTTTTTTTAAGTGCTAAGCAACCTTCAGTCACTTCTGAGCATCTGGAAGTAGAAACTAATAAAGAACACAGAGGTAAAATAAGCTGATACAAACAAATGGCCCAAGAGATTAATATCAAGAAGAAAGGGGAAGTAGCAAGCAAACTTCCAACAGTGTATCTGCAAGTAATACTATGGAAGAGCTTATATCTACTGTATAGAAGAAAGAACTCATGACAATGCTGAAAATAAAAACCAAAATGTTTTTTATAATCAGCTGGATATAAACCGCTACATGCAATTTCCCACCAACTTGGTAAGAATTTTTCATTTACTTTGCAAGAGTCAGCTGCCACAAATTCTGAATCAGTTGAAGGGATCCCAGAACTTTCAGCCCAGTTCTGGTCCCTGATCTGTAAATAAGAGCTTACTCCTACACAGTTACGCTATTTTGAACTTGTTATCTTAATAATTGCATGTTTGCCTGCAAGACCTGGAGTAGACTCCTGCTGTGTCTGTCAAAAACTTTTTCCACTTCAATGATGAATGTGTACTCTGTAGCTTCTTAACGTTTCCCTTTTATTTTTCCTATGAATAACAAAATTGTCAAGAATATTTACCTATGGAAATAAACATTTGGTATATTGCTGCTTATTAATTTGCCAGTTTAGCTAGGGGAAAAAGTAGCAGAAAAGCCGTAAGATCATCAGGTTGTGTTTAAATTTTTAAATGTAACAATCATTGCACTTTTGTACTCCAGACTGTATGCTTAAATTAGAACAAAAGCAAAAATATCAAAAACAAACAAACAACCACAAGCATACACTCATACCCTTTTATCATACCCCCTCCTTTTTCTTTGTATCCCTGTTATAACTTCAGGTCAATTGAAAAACTGCAACAACTATAAAATGAAAATACTGATTTTCTTCAGAAAGCTTCTTCTGTTAGAAAACAGAAGCTTGTAAATATTAGATGAAACAGGCTGGGAGAACTGAGGTTCTTTACCCTAGGGAAGGCTCCAAGGAGGCCTTACAGAGTTCTCCAGTATATAAAAGGGACTTAAGAGTCCCTCCCCATCTTTCCTGTATTAGAAAGTGTAGTGATAGGACAAGAGATAACAGCTTTAAACTAAAATAGGGTAGATTTATATGAGGTAATTGGAATAAATTCTTTACAATGAGAGCGGTCAGGCACTGGAACAGGTTGTCCAGAGGAGCTGTAGATGCCCATCCCCAGGACAGGCTGGATGAGGCTTTGAGTAACCTGGTCCAGCAGGAGGTGTCCCTGCCTGTGGAATCGGGCTGGGACCAGATGGGCTTCAAGCTCATTTCCAACCCAAACCATCCCATGATTCTGTCGTTATTAAACAAAATAGATCCTTACCAGCAAATAAGTGGCAATGGCAACATCTTCATAAACAAACTTCTCAGGATCCGTCACTTCAGGCCATACCTTCAGAGGAAAAATAAAAATAAAATCATTTTAAATACTTCAAAAAGTGCTCAGTTAAAGATGAATATCCAGAGCTCTTTAGCAGGATTCTGCACTTAGCAAGTTTTGTATTTTAACCTGATCAAAATATGGACAGAAAACAAATACGAACTGCAAGGTTTTGTGATTCACAGGAAACTGCATAAAAAAAAAAGTCTGCTATTGTTCAACCAGTAAAGTTTCCAAGAATTACAGTTTCCAAGAATTTTAAGGCTCTGAAGTAAACTGCTGTACCTGTTCATTAGAGTATGCATCATTTTGCTTATTCTAATTCTTACAGCAAAAATACTAATATTATTCCTATTAAACACATCAATAATATTAGTATTCATAAATTTATTTTCAAAACATAGAATTACCCTGGCACAACAGAACACTGTTCTGTTCTTGATGTTTTACAAGATCATTTACCAATTTCTCCATTTGTAGCTAGACTTTGGACTCTACCAAATTATGCCATACAACATTTAAGATTGTAATCATTTTTAGGTGTTTACAAGATAAAAAACACTGCTTGACTCAGACAGATATATCCATGCACCTACCTTAAATAGAGCAGTAAATGTTTAGCCTACTTACTAACTATTGGTGCTTCCTGACCCCTTGAGGCTTCGAAGGACATACCATATTTATGCTTAATTGTGAAAATGACTTAGTATTTCTATCCATTGATCTGCTGCTAACTCCTTACATGAAGGCAGTGTTATGGTAAATGCCTAACTCCACATGATATTTAGTGCAAATATGGCTCAAAATTTTGCTTTTCCAGTTTAGTTCTTCCAAATACTATGAATTTTTTTTTTCCTTTACATACACAGTAAAAGATGAAAAAAACAACACAACAAATTATACTGCATACAATTCAAGTAAATTACTTTAAAACAAATAGTGATAGAAACAAGTGATAGTGATAAGACAAGAAACAACAACAAAAAGCAGTGACAAGAAAGAATGAGGTCACATTTGTCAGCTAACTTACCTTTACCATCTCCTTGTATTTTTCTTTAAGGTCTTGATAAACCTTGCTGTATTTTGCTACAGGAATGAGTGACAGCGTACTTCTGAACTCACTGCATTTTTGCTCCACAGACCACTTAGCCAGTTTGGACAAAAGTACATCTCCAAGCCATGATAGTTTGGGGTATGTTATTCCATCTGAAAACCAATCTTTTGAAGATGGAACTATAATAGACACAGACCTTAAAAAATAAAATAAAAACTTTAATGAAGTAGAGTTTACTTATATTTCATTACCTCAAGTGGAAAAAAAATAATAATAATTAAGTAGAAAAAAAATCAGAAGATCAAATAAAGGTATAAGAGTAGACTGAGGAATAAGGAAAAACATCATAAACACAAAGAAAATAGGAAAGTTACTGAATAATGGAACAGTATTCCCTGGGTGTGTTTGACAGCTCATCACATGCTAATTTAAGCACTGTATGACAAGCTGTGCTAACCATACTATGATGACTAGGGACTTGAATATGACACACAACCTGATTTACCACGATAATCCAAACAGTGACAAGTAATAGTGGGTAATTAACAAAAACATTTTAAAGAATTAGGAGGTAAATACATCACTTGAGACATTTCATTATTACCTGATTTTTAAATCTAGTTGTATTTCCTACGCTATATGAGTGTCAGCAGGAACAACCATACCCTCAACACTCAGGACCAAGCGGGAACAGCCTGCAAATTTTAATGTCTGAAACTTCGCTGTTTCCAAACAGCAATTTCTAACTGTATTTCGACCTTACTAAGACCTACAGAACCTGACATCCATCACAGATATAGCCAGCTCCTCCCAACGAGAAAACGCTACACACAGAATAAATATATAAATTTAAAATTGAAAAATATTTTTTACGTTGATTTTAGTATTTTGTGTTTAACAGAACACCATGCACTCTGATCACACCAGTAGTCATTTATTAATTACACAAATTATGAAAACCAAATTATGAAATCTGGATATCAATATTAAAATAAGATGTGATCCTCACAATAATTCAGGATTTCCTTTCACTTGCAGCACTTACCATTCCTCATCTCTTACGTGTGTAAGTTGAATTTGATATATATTGCATTTTTTAATTTGGTATTTTCCTTCACTGTTTTCCTCCAAAGGCAGGAAGGTTACAGTTCCATTGCAAACATCTGAAAATATATGTAAACAGCAATATGTTAGTCCATAGTACAAACTACCTTGTCCAGTACAAAAAATAAACTCATTTCCTTGCTATATTAACTGCAAACTATTGAGGACAACGCTTTATTGCTACTTTCTCCTACCACACAATAAATCTGGAGTTCTGGGATGTACATTTCAAATTAACAGAGGCATAACATCCCACTGAGGCTGGGGATGCTCTGTTCCTGGAGGTGTTCAAGGCCAGGTTGGATGGGGTCCTGGGCAGCCTGATCTAGTGCTAAATGTGGAGGTTGGTGGCCCTGCCTGCAGCAGGGGGGATGGACCTTGATGATCCCTGAGGTCCCTTCCAACCCAAGCCATTCTGTGATTATATGATTGTATGTATCACTCTAACATTAGGCAAACTATCAGTGCAATGTTATCAAGTAATGAGATATACTATCAGCAACAATTTTGTTCTGGACTGCCTGAGAAGGTCTGTTTTTAAGTAAAGTTCCATTACGTAACATTTAAAGTGATGTTCACACTACTGATCTCTCACCTGTGGAATAAAATGCTTATGCCTGTGGACAGAGTTCCAAAACTTACAGACTTAGGAAGTGCTGAGATAAGCAGACTAATAGATGGCCATGCCCCTCAGTACCTCTACCATATTTCAAGAAGTTTTTCTGGAACTTCTGTCACATTTCATTTCCTAACACAACCTATACAATTAACTCCTACACAAGGAAGAACACAGTGCCTTTTGAAACAACCAATAAAAACAAAGGAGATGGCAGCAAAACACAACTGACATGACACAACCTAGTGCTCACATGCTACATCTTAACGCTTAGCATCTTAATTTATTCCCTGTTTTGTTCCTAGAGATAACTCTAATGGAATTTACGCTGTGCCACACAGCATACAAAATATATCCATTATTGCTTTACACACTAGTTGCAGTAGTAGTTTTTTGAGTAGTACTAGTGTAGTGTTTTTAGCTTCTATTTATCCAGGGGGATTTCTTTAGAATGATGTTTCCTATTCTGAAAACTGTCTGCTAACATCAAAACACTCTAAAAACTGCAAATCTCCAAAATTACAATACTATATCGGTAAAATAACCAAAACACCAACGGTTTCCAAAAGTCCAGACTTCCTGTGCTTCGGTTTGTGGCCATTTCCCCTTGTCCCGTCGCCACTCAGTGCCGGTGCAGCCCCACGACAGAACACAAACGCCCGAACAAGTCACCTTGCACCACCAGCTCCTTCACCGGCGGGGCGAGAAGCCCTGCGGGCCGCGCCCGGGGCAGCAGAGCTCTCAGCACAGCACGCAGCTCCCGACCTGGCCCGGCCGCGAGGAAAGGCAGCAGCTCCCCGCGCACCTCCCTCCAGAGCCGGCCAAGCTCCGCAGCCTCCGCCGGCTCCTCGCCGCTCCCGAGATGGAGAGACGTATCTCCGTCCTCCCCGAGCAGCACCGCGCCCTCCGCCTCGACGGCGGCGCCGCACAGCCGCCTGTTGGCCACCTGCGGCTTCTCCAGCCACACGCGCACCGCCGCCCAGAAGCCGCGGGGCAGCACCGCACCGCCGCCCCGCACCGCCGCCGTACGCAGCAGCACCATGGCCGGCAGGAGGAGGAGGAGGAGGAGGCGGAGCGTCGCAGGCTGCTGCCGTCACTTCCCCAGGCGGAGACGGCGGCGAGCGGAGGTAAACGGCGCGTCCGTGCACTCCTGTAATTAGCTGTCAGTCGGCTGGACTTGTGCGAGGTGTTTGGCGTGGTCCTGCCAAACCTCACCTCTTAATTGGAGAGATGCGGGAGATGCTATTAGGTGGAGAAAGGGTTTGGTCGGGTGGTCGCAGCCAGAGAGTCGTGGTCAGTGGCTCTGTGTGTAAGTGGAGGCCGAGCAGTGTTTCCCAGCGGTCCATCTTGGGACCGGTGCTCTTTGACATCTTTAACAATGACATGGGTGACGGAATTGAACGTACCCTGAGCAGGTTTGTTGCTGGTGGTGAATTGAATGGTGCAGTTGGCACCATAGATGGAAAGGAGGCCAGCCAGAGGGACCTGGACAGCTTAAAAAGTGGTCCGGTGTGAACCTAATGAGATTCAACAAGGCAATGTGCAATTCCTTGCACCTGGGTCAGGGCAGTCCCAAATACAAGTACAGACTGGGAGAAGCAGTCATTGAGAGCAGCCCTGCAAGGAATGACTTAGGGGTTCTGATGAGCAAAAAGCTGGCAGTGTGCTCTTGCAGCCTGGAAGGCCAGTGGTATACTGTGCTGAGTCAAAAAGGGAGAGTCTAGCAGGGCAGAAAGATTGTCTCTACTTTGCTCTTGTGAGGTTTATCTGAGTACTGCGTCCAGGCCAGGGGCAACCAGCACAATAAAGATGTGGAGCTGTTGGAGTGGGTGCAGAGGAGGTGCACAAAGATGATCAGAGGGCTGGAGCAACTCTCTTCTAAACAAAGGTTGAGGAATTTGGGCTTGTTTAGTTTGGAGAAAAGAAGGCTCCAGGGAGAGCTCTTTCCTGCCTTCTAGTATAGTAGTTGAAGGGAACTTGCAAGCAGGACTGGAATCAGCTTTTTGCACTGTCTGATAGTGATAGGACAAAGTGGAATAGCATTAAACTAGAAGAGGGGAGATAGTCATAGAATCACCAACATTGGAAAAGACCACCGAGATCGTCCAGTCCAACCATCCACCTGCCACCAATATTTCCCATTAAACCATGCCCCTTAGTACAACATCTGAATGTTTCTTGAACACCACCAGGGACAGTGACTCCACCACCTCCCTGGGCAGCCCATTCGTGCACCTAACTACTCTCTTGGAGAGAGTATTTCCTAAAGTCCAACCTAAATCTCCCTGGTGCAACTTAAGGCCATTCGTTCTAGTCCTATTGCTAGTTCAATGGGAAAAGAGGCCAGTCCCCACTTTGCCACCACCTCCTTTCAGGGAGTTGTGGATACAATTGTTGTGATACAAGCCAGGATGCCATTGGCCTTCTTAGCCACCTGGGCAAGGTTAGATGGTTTGATGTTACAAAGCAATTCTTTACTCGAGGTGGTAAAGTACAGGCACGGGCTGCCCTGAGAAGCTGTGAGAAGCCCCATCTCTGGAGGTGCTCATGGACGGTTGGATGGGGTCCTGGGCAGCCTGATCTGGTGGCTAGTAGCTCTACCATGGCACTGGGATTGCAACTGGATGATGTTTTGGTCCCTTCCAGCCTGAATGACTGTATGATTCTGTATAAGGTTCAACTTACGCTGACTGCAGTACCTCATTATAGAAATGCTTTTCTGACTCCTTCTGTTCGAGGAAGCACATCTCAGCACACTTCGGTATTAAAAAGTACCTCTTCCTGCAATCATTATTTTGCACTTCAACCAAAAAAATCAAGTCATCTGCCCTGAATTTTGGCAGTTCAAATAGAGATTCTACAACTGAAACTCCAAATAGGATTGTCTAGTCATAAGCTTTAATACTTACAGATTATTAACTTCCAGATAAAAAAGCTTTTTAACTCAGCATTTTTGTGTGAAACTGTAGCAATTTTCAGTGAGTTCTGAATAATCCATATTGTTATTTTCTGTCATGTCCATAGGCTGATTTCAAAACGTCAGCAGAACTCAGTTCTATGGGGATGAAAGCAGCATGGAGGTGATTCTCTGGGGTCATCTTTGGCTGTATTTCTTATTGTAATTGCCAGTTTTGATGTACTAATTAATTTTAAGGTTGCTTGCTTAGAACTAACTTTTATCAAAACATAGTGGGAAGACAGAGAAAAAAATTTTTTTTTTTTTTTGCAGTGCAGACCCTTTTCATGAAAGCTCAGATCTTTTTAATTTAATTTTTAGCATTTCAGCAATCTCGCTGATCTGCAATGTAAGTAAAGTTTGACACCTTTAAATAAAACTGCAGTGTTTTGATGCCAGATTTTCTCTGTTCTGAGTTAGAAGCCTTGAACTTCTGCCTGATTTAACTGCTTTCCAGTTCACTTCTGTTTGCTGGTAGGAGGTGAATGTCTGTTTGTTTGGCATCGGGCTGAAATGTTCTTTCCCAGTGCCTGAAGTTTGGTGGGTTTTTTTTGTTGTTTGGGTTTGTTTTTGTTTGTTCCAGCTTGTAATGCAATGGAAAGTACAGTGATAGTAGCGGGGTGGCCCAATCCTTAAATGAGGTCTGGGAAGAGGTGAATCTGGTCTCCATCCTTTCTGGTAACTTAGATGCACTGCATGCACCTGAGCTCCCCTGGCTTGGCCCTGCCTTCCGATCAGGTGCTCAGTCACTGATTCAAGCTGTGACTTAGCTTTTCCACTACACATCTCATCACTGGAACTGCACCCGGAACCCATCTGGAAGTTGCACATGGAAATACTGTCCTGTAGTCTTCCTCTGCTGCGTTATTATCCTGTTTTTAGTAGGTTGAAAGAAACGAAATGGATGAAAGAGGAATACCAAGATGATAAAGAAAATGCATGACAGAAAAAAGTAGAATGCCAAATTAGCTGTTTCTTTATGTTTAGTACATTTCAATAGGCCTAGCTGAGCCCCTTGGCCAGCCCTGGGTCCAGATGTCCTCCCAATGGCTTTGGGAATTGCTGCTTCTAGCCAGGCTCCCTGTTCTTGCCACCTCCCATTCCCCTACTTGGGTACTGATGCCTCTTTGATGCCTGTCACAAACCTCTGCCATCTGAGTGAGGGAGAGAAATTGCCGAACGTGATGTGAGCAGGTAGCAGCAGGGAGCACTGCGTCTTTGCACTTTGGATCTGGTTATTACAAACTGAGGTTCAGCTTTTCTTCCAAAACACTGTAGGTTGCACCTGCTAATAATGAAGTGCTGCTGATTTTGTGAAGTTTTGCAATACAGTGGAGAAATGTTATGGCCCACAAAGATAAAGGAAAATGGCATCAGAATTTTTGGACCTTGCTGCTTTTGATCGCAACTACAAGGGATTGAGGCCAAGTCAGCACAGAATAAGAGAATTCAGAAATAAATTTGTAGTGGAAAGGTGGACTAAAAAGGTTAGAAAGCAAAACCACTAAAATGCAGAATGAGAAGTTAAAAGTTAAGGAAAGAAAAAGGAGAAAAATGAACCTAAGCACTGTGTTCCCCCCATGGTGACCCACTTGATTATTTGCTTTGTGCTTTCACAGTATCATTATGCCTGATAAGAGTCATCCTTCTTTAGTCTTTTCTTAATAGCTCTTCGGGAGAATTATTAACATCAACAGTATATATTAATACACAAATGCAATTTATCTGCAGATCTCTGCAGAAATTCACAGATCAAAGTATGGATTGATACCTGCAATAACAGTATTCTGCTCTGAGAGCAGTCTCATTCAATAAACTGTTGCCATTTCTATAATCAGAAAATTAATCATTAAAGAAAATCTGGAACTTAAGTCTTGATCTGTCAAGACTGAATTCCAGCTGCAGAAAACTGAGTTCTTTTTTCCAGAGAATATAATGGTGTCGAGAAAAAAATACTGTAAATTATCCGTCTTAATAAATAGGATTCAACAAATTTTGTAAACGAAATTTGAAAGCTTCATTTAAAATCAGTCAGTATATATTTGCATAATTCAGCTGTAACTTTTCTACGCTGATCTGAAAATGCTTCCAGTTTATGTTGTGGTATCTGTCATATCCAGAAATCATTATACAGTCATTTGAAGTATATCACTTGAAAAATTTCTTTGTCGTCTCAGAGTCTATCCCATTTTGGCAAAACAGAAGTGCAAAATCATGATTTTGTTGTGTTAGGATATTGCTCAACTATTTGGAAGCATCCTTGGGAAGATTTGGGAAGAACCAAAGTCTTTGTACAGATTTTAGATAGTGGGAAAATTCTATTGTGTTTCCTGAAAGCATGAAAAATTTAGCTTATATTGCAAAATAGGTCATATTGCCAAGTTGGAAAAGAAAGAAAACAACACCAAAAAAAAGCCTTAATGTCAAAAGATTATTTTTTTGAGAACTTTGCAGATGTGTGAAAGTAAATCATTATGACAATTCCTGAATAAATATCTTGTGGGATTGGGAAGTTTGCTTTCATACTTACTGACTTCACTCAGGTGAAGGAAATGCAAAGATGCAGAATTTTACAGGAGTTTGTTTCTTGCAGTTGGTGAACATAACGTTATTAGCCAGTTTTTTTATTAATATATTCAGCCAGTGGAAGATAAGGGCGGAGTTCCTGCCAGTTCTCTGAAGTCTTCTGACTTGTCTTAATATGTGAACAGCAGCTCATCATTTAAGTTATTCAAAAACAAATCTTAACACATAACCAATAATTGTTTAAATGTTAACTAGTACAGTGAGGATAATATTGGCATTTCCTGTATTTGAACACAGTCTTGTTGTGCATGTTTGTGTGCTTTTTTATTTTATTTTACAGTTCAGGTAGAAGTGAGGTGGCTTAATCACTTAAATTATGTTATTTGAAACATCCTATTATCTTCTCTGGATCACCCCTTTCTTAATACAGAATATTAACTAGTGCTGTTCCTGCTTTATATTGTTTTAAATTGTATTTAAAAGGTTTAGATCATATTTTAATAACAAAGACTATGTAATTCATTTACATTTGATCAAAGGCATTTTTTCCTTAGTTTATGCCAAGGCAACTGGATTAGAAAAATGGACAGCCAAGCTTTTAGTTGGCTCTGCACTGCTTTACTCACACACCACAGAACAAGTCTGTGGGTTTAATTAACAACCCTTCTGATTTCTTAATCTGCAGTACTTCAGTGCATAAAGTAGATTTTCTTTGTTGCAGAACAGTTTGACTAACAATGGCACCCACATTGAGTGTGAAAGAAACCACTGGCAACCAAAGTTCCTGGAATACTTTGCTACCAGATTTCCCGAAGGGGCCACTCTCCAAATATAGAAAGAAAGCTTCCTTCAACTGGAAAGAGATGGCGGTGTTCCTCGATGGTGAAGATATCATCCGGCTAAAGGTAAGCAAGCAAGACAGTAAGCATTTTTAATCTTGGACTTAGAGAAGCAAATACATGATTCTCAAACACAGAGTATTTAATAATAGTCTTTAGATATGGGGCATGAAGAAATTATTTTTGCACATCTGTTTTTCAGAACAGAACTGAATTTCTAAGCAATACATTGCTATCTAATAAGGCACGACCAGGTGCAGCATTACAGAACTTCCTGGTCCTTTTCAAGCTGAGAGGAATCTGTATTTACCATGTTTCTTCATGACAGGCATTAAATCATATATCTTCTGGCTTTACAATTTACTTAAACTCATCTGAGTATATCCCACTACTAAACATATCATTTCTGTCATTCTTTGACCTGACATAAGTTCCTACTGTCTTTGTGTTTGCAATAATGCTTATGTGGTGTATGTTGGATAGTTATGCTTGCCTAACTGAATGAAAGCTACCCCTACTAAAAAAAAAGATTAATTGCAACACAAAAGAGGGTG